ATTTTTGCTATTTTAAATGATTATACAGGGTGTTAACGTTATGATAGTCATTATTTAAATGGGTGATAGAGGGGGCAAGCAACTCGAATTTCGTGGATCAGCTGTGTCAATCTGGCGAAACTACCATTTTTTGACATGTTAAATGTATCAACTGCCGTGTATTTAGCACATATGAGCTTTCAAAGATCTGCCATTTGTTATTATGGATTCTTTAATAGCGCAAGAACGCATTTTGGTAGTCCAAAAACTTTACGAAGACGAACGATCTTCAAAAAGTACCTTTCGCAAGCTTCGTGATGACACAGAGAGTGGAATTCGGTGGACTATCAATCGTTTTGAAGAAACTGGCTCAGTTGAGGGTCGTAGAACATATCAACATGCCCGTCTGGTACGTACACGTGAATCAGTGGCCGCTGTGAGTAGAGTTTATGAACCGTTCGCAAGAATTGGACTGCAGGCAACAATATTATGGAGGATTTTGCATGTTGGTCTCCACCTGCATCCATACAAGATCCAACTGAATCAACAACTGAAGCCAGCCAGCGTATTTTTGTTAATTGGATGATTGAAAAGGGAGAGCGATTTTCGACTAAAATCATCTTTTCAGATGAGGCACATTTTTACCTCAGTGGCCACTTAGATAAGCAAAACTGTAGGATTTGAGGTTCGGAAAATCGATGAACAACTTCTCCATGATCAAGAAGTAACTGTTTGGTGCGGATTATGGGCTGGTGGCATCACTGGGCCTTTGGTTCCAGCAAGATGCTACAACTTCGCACACAGCTCGCCAAACTATCCCGTTATTTGCCGAGAAATTTCCAGATCGCATTAGTTCAAGGATTTCCGACGTGAATTGGCCTCCAAGATCGTGCCCCTGGACCATTTCCTCTGGGGAAGTGTACGCGACTGCTCCGCACACTATTCAAGTCCTTAAACGTAACATCCGCACCGAAATTGCGACCGTGGACCCGCTAGCACTGCAAAAAGCCATCGAAAATTTTGATGTTCGGATGATGGCATGTCAACAAAGCCGCGGTGGACATAATATGTGCGATGTTATAAGCCATACATAAATGGCAAAGACCGACCTTCAATCTTCAATAACGAGTTTGGTTTCTCACTTATAAAAAGTGTGTTTTTTAGATTAAAAGAAGAAGGAACGGATGGAATGATAAGAGTACTCTGTAAATAACAATTTTATACTCAAACTTTAGAAGAGCTCACGAGCCTGTTGATTGGCAGGATCCGGTGATCCTATTTCATATCCATGTCACAATTCAGCATATAAATCGTTAACGGAATATAAGTTACAATTAGCTATTTATGTGCTTGATCGCAATTGAATCGGTGCGATGGAAAACAACACGCTATAATTTACGTTCAATAAACAAACATGAAATTATGCCAGTTTCATTTATTTACAAATCATATTATTTCACATCGGTATTTATTTATCTACTGTACGGAGATTTGTGTAGCGTAAAATGCATATCCTGATGTTATATTAAATGAAAAACAAATTCTAAAATAAATTAAATACAATATGTACAGAGTAGTTACAGTTCACAGTCGGTTGATTGGGTATGTAACATCAATTTAACAGACGATGCGTTGAGTAATTTTAAGAGAGAGACATAGGTCCGCAATTTTTTTGTTCTCAAGATACAGGGTGTTGAAACTTATAAAAGGTTTTTCGTAAATTACTTCAGTTTACTAATAGTGAAATGGCTCATTGAAATCTGACATTTTGCCCAATTTGAGGTATATGCTCATTTTTTTCGTCTATCTACAGCGCACATTGTGATAGAGTCCGCTAACTGCAGAAAAATTTAGTGTTTGATTTATTCAGCCAAAACGATACCTACCACTGGCAACACGTCTGTCAATGAGCGGCAATTCCAGCTATCTCACAATTACGCGTGCTATTTTTCTTAACTTTCCAATGTAACACGACGTTGTGATTTCTCAGAAATATCTCACCAAAGAACACATCCAAATGGAATGTGACTCTGTACACTGTTGCATTTAAAGAAAACTGAGAAATTGAGTTATTGAATTACCAAATGATTGTGTTAAGGCGTCAAAAGAGGTACTTTGGAAAAAGTAGTTCGGCGGTTGGTGTTGTATACTATCTCTCGTATTTCTTAGTTTGTTTGATAAATACTGACATTAAGTACCAGTTTTTTTAAGTGATGCAAGAGATGCTCGTAGATAACATTTGATTGAGGTGACTCCAGATAGCATCTATAAGTCTATGACTTTCTACAGTCCCTTGCCATATTATTAGACTCATGCTGCAAATCTACTTTTGCTTTATATTTCTTGTTGTTATTATGAACTTTTTGCAGATACGTTGGTAGAACTTGAGTTTTTGAGTATCGCGGGCACTTTTATCGTTTTGGCAAGACTGATCATGTTGGTAATTTCAGAATGGGAAAACTGTCTGACTTGTCGCCAATAAAAGTTGGTCGAATTTCCGGCATGCTGGAAGCACGAAACATGTCACAATACCAAACAGCGCGATTTGTTGGGGTTTCTCAAAGTTCTGTAAAACGAATTAAACAAAAAATAGACCTCGGTGAAAATCTGAGAGCCAAACGACAGAGAAAAGTGACCGAAAAATTAGCAATATTTATGTTGAAAATCGAAAACTGCCGATAAAAATTCGTACAAAAAAAGTTCTTGAAGCCGGCATTGAAGTTTCGCAAAGAACAGTGCAGCGTAGGTTAGCAGAAGAGGGTCTTATTGGACGTAGATCAGCACGCAAACCAAGACCAAGACACCTGCTATGATATCAAAGCGATACCAATGGGCACGAAAATACAAGGATTTCACGACTGATAACTAGAAGAACGTTAATAAATGCTATATAACTATATTCAAGTCGTTCTTGTACTGTAGATATTATTTAATCTAAATTCTATGACGTTTTTCAGGTATGTTTTTCGGACGAGTCGATTTTCCAAGTATTGGTCGACAAATCGCAGTTTGTACGGCGAAGGACAAATGAGAAATATAAGCCAGAATGCATTGTGCCGACCATTAAACATCCGGTAACGGTATGGTCAGTTATCAACTATAAGGGATCGATGGTACAATGAATGCCGAAAAATATCAGGAAGTTTTGGAAACCCAGATGCTTCCTCAAGTGAAAAAATGGTTCAACAAACGAGAAAAGCCAATTTTTATGCATGATGGTGCGCCTTGACAACGTGCACAAAAAATTACAAAATTTTTAGCTGAAAAAAAAGTAGATATTCTCGACTGGTCAGGAAATTCGCCTGACATGAACCCCATCGAGAACGTCTGGGAGTTTTTGAAATCTGAGGTTACGATGAAAGCTCCTACAACCAAGCAAGAGTTGATCAATATACTTAATGACACTTTGAAACATAACCCAGAGCTCAAAATAAAAATTCAAAACTGTATAAGCAGTATGCCACGTCGCGTTGAAGCTGTGTTGGCTGCGAAAGGTGGTCATACAAAATACTGATTTTTGCAAAAAAATGTATTTTCATTTCAAAAGATTCCATTTTCATGTAAATTTCTAATTCTCTATGTGACATTTGTTGTATTTATAATAAATTTTGATGTTTCATCATGGATAAGCTTTGTAAATGTCTACTGGCGTGTTATAAGCCAGGAAAACTTCATTTTTAAGCATGAGTCCAATAATATGGCAAGGGACTGTATTAATTTGCATCATGGTCAACTGTGAAATTTGCCAAACATTGGAAAATTGGTCAAGGCCGCCTATTTCGTGCGATGCATTCTTTGTGTATCTCAAACACAGAAATACTGGGCGTCATAAGCACTGTTCCTGGGTTGTTTTGGAAATGTAAGAACTGCATTCCTAGCTGCATTGTAATAAACCAGGATGATGTTACGAAGAGTGGTAAAATTGACGAGGCCATGTCTTCTTTCAAGAATCAAGTCACGAAATTATCTGCCGATATATCAAGATCTATGAAAGCATCTCATGCAGTACCGTCTGTCAACAAGCCTATAGTATCCTATGCCGAAGTCGTTAGAAATAAGACCCAACCAGCATTAATTATTCAGCCAAAAAATGGGAATCATCACAGCAGGCAAACCAAAGTTGATCTAATACAGCATGTGAATCCTTGTACTGCGGAAGTTCAGTTAGCGAAAGTGAAGGATGTTAGGGATGGTGGTATTCTTATTGGGTATAATTCAAAGGAGGTAAATCAGAAGTTAAAAGCTCTTGTTCAGGAAAAGTTGTCATATATTTATGTGATACGTGAAATTACCGGTGTTAACCCCCGGTTTCGGCTAGTGGCCATGTCAGATGATAAATTACGGCACTTGTTATTAAAAGGAAATACAGATATCTTCGAAGATGATTTCAAATGTTAAATTGTTAAGCACTTTCCTACTAAAAAGGACCCTTCTGTATATCAAGGTATTGTTCAGGTTGATAGGAGTAGCTATGAGGAAATTTTTGTTACTTGTTTGTGGGGTATGACAATTGCGCTGTTTACGATGCTATTGATATGTATCGTTGCTTTAAATGTAATGAATTCCATCATTCTTCTAGCAAATGTAAAGGTGCAGTAGCGTAGCGAGAATCATGACCTCAAACATTGCAAATCACAGACTCGTAAATGCTCAAACTGTATGAAACTTAAACAGAAAGATGATAATGTGCAAACGGATCATGCTGTTTGGGACAAGCAGAAATGCAAGGCATACAATGAAGCCCTTGATAGATTAAAGTACGACCTAATCAGTCAGTAGCAACCAATGCATCCCTTCGTCGTAACTCGCAAGGCACTAGATTCCAATTGTAGTGATAGACTGCAACCTCTAATATACTACCAAAATGTTCGTGACTCTGAACGAAAGCTGCAGTTTTTTATAATGCTATTTGTAGGTGTGAATATCCTATCATGCAATAACTCAAACCTGGTTAGATTTCTCATGTATGAGTAGTAAATTTTTTACAACTACATAAATAATGTGTTCCGGAAAGATCGTGATTATGTAACCACTGGTTGCTCAAGAGGTGGTGGTGTGTTGATTGCGATTGATGAGTATTTTACAGCATCTTTGATAGATATACCGGAGTTGGCAGTACTTGCTGCCCTAAAGATTGATGTTGTAGCAGTCAAGGTTTGTACCAACTCTTTTTCAGTGTACATTTGCCTACATACCACCTGAATATGAGGAATTTTATGATGCTATCTTGTCATCGCACGTCCTATTTGATACGAATTTAGTTATAACATAGCTAACTACACTTCGTATGTGAATAGTCATGGACTCATGGACGCAACGCAAAATTGGTATCGTTGAACAACTTTGCTGAGGGTCTTGCTGTTAATCAGTTTAACAACATTTCAAATTCCATGAACAATACCCTTGATTTAGTTTTCGGTTGTGGTCTGTGTGAGGTTGAACATTCGTGGGATCTGAAGTTAGCAGAAATATCAGCTATCTGCACTAATTTTGTCAATTAGAGAATCATTTAGATAAAATCGCATTAAATATGTGTTGGCAGGCTTGTTTTGTCCCCTGTAAAATTATGGTTCCTGCATGTAGCGGGTATTGTCAGATGTCCGAAGAAATATTTCCTCCTAATAGAAGAACTTCTCTCTCCATGTACGACTTTCTGGAACAGGCAGCTTCAAAAGCTTGACGATTGTCATCGGGAGGCCTACAACGGTGCGAGTAGTTCAAATTAAAGAAGCCGTTTAAAGTGAAATCGTCATACCAGTACTGGGAAAATAGCTGAAGAAACGAATATTACCCATGTCACAATGTGGCAGATTTTAAGAGACCCGCAGCTATACAACGTGTGCAAGCTCTGTTGCTCAGAGATTTGCCTTCAAGACTAGCTTTTTCTGATTGAGTACGCAGTACGGTTATAAGGAATCCAGGTTTCCTAATGCCGACCACGCACACTACGGTACACGGGAGAGGTTACCTGTCCAGGTTTGCTTGTGCAGGTAAACCGCACGACGGTAGCGTGTATGGGGACGTTCCGTTTTTTTCGCGATGGCATCGATCGAGGAGGATAACGCGCTGGCATTGGTTGGCCTTGCGGTAATTTTGAAGAAAAATGTTACAAAAAATAAACAAACAAAGTGGTGTGAGCATTGGTAATAATTGAACATTCATTTTTCCCACGACAACTAATTTGTCCGCAACTGGCTCAATTTTTCCTAATTTTTCTATGAGTAATTTATAAGCATCTTATTTTTTTTTCGATCATGGTGCTCTTTGTTTTTGATTTGCCACTTACATGGATCAATTCTATATACAGGGTGTTAGGGAAATAGTATTCGTAACTTTGACTGGTGATTCCTTTCATTATTCTAAGCAAAAAAGTTCAGTATAACTTATGTCCGAAAATCAATCGTTTTCGAGGAAAGTGAGTCGTAAATAATTAAATTTTCTCAAACATTTGGCAACGTTGCAATGCAACCGCGATACAAGCGCACGACGACCGTAACTGATTCATTGAATTGTTCACGTTTGTATGATATTTTTGTTGGAAACATGCCTTGAATTATTGAATACTTTCACGCAATTTTTTGTGGCTAATATTTTTTATTTAACAACGCTTTCAATACAGTGCATTTACTTAAAAAAATGACTGAACTTACCGGTACGTGGCGATACACACCACCAATTCCCACGATTATCAGTCGCTTATTTGAAACGATGCGATGCACGAAAAAAGAAAAAAAAACAAGATCGGTAAATCACATAAAGTTACAGTTGAACGTATTAGTAATCACAACAACATGCGATGATACATGCAGTACAGGCGGAGTACAACATTGCCAGTTGTGTGAGGGATTTTGTTCGTCGGTTTTTCTTCGGAACATTGTATTTAGTAAGCAAGAAAGTTATTTTGTTAGACATTTAATTATTAAATAAATGTATTGATACATTTTACGCTATTAGGCATATGAATTTAAATTAAAACGGTGCAAAATTAATTCATTTCATGACTAAGAAGAAATAAGTTCAGCATTTTTTTGCTACGAAACGGTTGATTTTCGGACATGATTTATAATGCAATGAATCATCTCTTAAAGTTACGAACATTATTTCCCTAACACCCTGTATTCATACTTAATTGCTTTAACTGTTAGGAAGAAATATCTATGAATTTTTTTGGGGTTGAGGCAAAGTTTTGCAGAAGTACACTCTTTTAACTTAAACTCAAGCTTTCGATGGTCTATGCCATCATCATCAGGAGTAAGTCGGCGAGATTGCTGCTGGAATTATTCTCAAGCGACAGTGGATGAGAACACCCTAGTCAACGAACAAAAAGCTGGGTCGATCAGGTTCAATTAGGGAGAAAGTTTCAGTTATTAACTATTGGCAAAACCGTAGCTATGTTTTTCAAAAAACCACTAGCGGATTTAGCCGGTCAACACTTGTCAAGAAAAATGTAGAGGTTTTTAATTCTTCGAAATCTGCTGGTAGTTTTTTAGAAAACGTAGCTATGGTGTTGTCACTAATTAGTTATTGAAAATGTCGTCGACTATGTGTTCTCATCCACTGTCGCATAGGAACAATTTCAGCAACAATATCGCTGGCTTACTCCTGATGATGATGGCACAGACCATCGAAAGCTTGAGTTTTAGTTAAAAGAGCGTACTTTTGCAAACTTTGCTTTCATCCCAAAGAAATTCAAGGATATATAACAAAAGGTAGGAAAATAATGGGCAAAATCCGCAAAAGGAGCTAACCTACACATTGTTGTATATAGTCAACGCCAAACAAAGTGGCGTGCACGTCATCACGATAAAAATTCCCCGACCTAATGCCTAGGTTTCTATCACAAACAATTGCTCTATTGCAGTTTCATATTAATGTGATATATAAATTGTAAAATGGTCATTACTCTCTTATTATGGTTAATAGTCATATAAACATTGTTATTAAAATATCACATAAGTTGCTTTCTGATAAATTTAGACGCATTATGCGAAATAAAATGTTTTGCAAACGCTCCAATCACTTATCGACATGTAAACGCACTAAACCGATTTCGCAGCGTTGACACATTGTCACCTTGAAACTTATTTAAACTGGGAACTGACATTTGTATTAATTTTGACACTGAATCAATTTGTGGCATTTCAAATCTTTATAAATCCTTTGGCCCCGCATACTGTAAATCAACAACTGTTTGTTTCAAAACAAAATTATTCATTTTACGAGTAGATAAAGGCAATTTTGGTATATAAAGATGCCCAAACAGTTGAATAGTCGGTGTAAGGAACTCGTGGCCTCGTTAATGCACTACTTTGAGCAAGAAAGGGACAACAACGGGCCTTTGTTGCCTTTAAATGCTGTTCAAGAGGTAGGTTACTAATAATTATATGTAATGTATATTAATAATAGTGAAATTTTATTGAATTTTTTGTAGCGTGTTGCTGCTGCTTTAAAAATTAGTTTAAGGACAGTTAGTCGTATTTCCGAGGGTGTGAAAAGTGATGCAAATTTAGAATCGCCCAAGAAAAAGCGGAGTTATATTAAACGTGTAACCAACACAGCGACATTGGATACAAGTGCCATTCGAGAAGTGATCTATAATATGTATCACAAAAGTAAGATCTTATTATAATAACTTATCAGAAATTTGCATTAATTTGTTAACTAAATTATAATGTCATATTACACATGGTTTCAGAAGAACAAGTTACGATACAAACTTAATGCTTCTTAATTATATATATTTTGGTCGACAGTTTATATTTCTTTTGTTTATTCCTATTCTTAAAATAACTGCTTTTTTAGAAACAAACCACCTAAAATATACGTGATTGATGAATTGGCGGAACAACATGGGCACAAAGTTCTTCGTCTGCCTCCTTACCATTGTATAATTAACCCTATTGAGTTAATTTGGGGCATAGCAAAAGGTTACTATAACAGACATATTGGTAGAGATGGTAACAGTGAAAAAGACTGTTTGGATATGTGGAACGAGGCTCTACAAACGGTTACCCCAGACATGTGGAAAAATAGTGTTCGACATACTGAGCAAGAAATTTTTAAATGGTATGAAAGAGAACGAATTTTTGATCGACCAGACATCGAACCTTTAATAATCAACTTTGAGAGTGATGAAGATTCAGATTCAGACAGCGCTGAAGAAAGAAACTCCGACTAACTTTATTGTACAGAAAAAGCTTACACCAGTAGCTTACCTAATTTTAGAATGCATTTTTCTGTATGAATTCTGTAAAATAAATACCATGCATAAAATTTGGAGGACCCCATTTGGATTTTTATTCAGTACCTTTAAGCTATCAATTAAATATGGCAGTTTCATAGTGTCATCTGATCAATAATTGCCATACTTAATGATTATGCAAGTACAGATCTATAATTTTATTATACTATTATTTTTGTTCTCATTTGAGGTTAATATTGCTTATAAACCTAGATATGTAAATAATAAATTTTATTATTTTACAAAAAGTTTGGCAACAATGTAAATTTTTCAACACACCCACCTTGATGACGTGCACGCCACTTTGTTTGGCGTTGACTATAAATGGCTTGAAGACCTCGAATTTTCAAGGAGACATCTAACCAAAACCACGCGACCGGTTACAGCCACTTGTTGTGGTAATGCAAGCCGAAAGGATCTACAAAGAGAAGAAGATCATGCGGAGAAAGGTATATAACAAAAAGTAGGAAAATCATGGGCAGAATACGTACAAAATTCTTTTATTTGCCTAGTCCAAAACACATAATAAAAAATAATTTAGGTAACCTAGGGTTTAATTAACTAATTAATTTTATAAATACCGCTGCCAAATTACAACAAAATTAGGTAAATGGTATTTAATATATTTACGAAGAACTAGTTTTTTTTATTTCAACACCTTGTTTCTTGGCATATTAGCCGGATTTTTCTGCGGATATAAATTTTCCGTATGCAAATTTCATTATTGTGTATAAGCGTCATGTCTTGTGCAATGATGGTGTACTGTTAACCGCAAATCTCAGACACAACGTTTCACAACTTACGACACAAATGTCTCATCCCTGACTGCGTTCAGCTGTCGTTTTTTATAGTGTAAGGAAGTTCTAGTAGCTCCTCTCTCTCTCTAGATACTATCCCGATGGATTGATTGATTACACTTTAGTCTACGATGGTATTTGAAACTTGGAATTTATTCAT